AGTATTTTGACCCCTAAAAACTCCTAAACCCTCAAAACTAAATCCTAATTCAACATCAAATTCTTTAAATATGTCAACCGGTAACAAAATTTCTCATATTTTGTCTTATTCACATGAAGTTTTTTTAATTTTTTTTTTTTGAAATGAAAGTTTCTTTTAATTTTTTGTCAGACCACTTGTTGAAAGAAAATGTAATAATTTATCAACTTTTCTTCAATTTCTTCTAATTCTTCAATTCTCCTACTGTAACATGGATTCTTCAAATTATGCATATTCTTCAAATTCTTTGAATTATGCTGTTACCATTTAGTACCTATATTCAAATGTATGTTATTGGTTAAATCAGAATAATGAAAACAAATCCCTTGTTTACAACCCAAAACTCATACTAGTCTTCATGTGAAAACACGTATTAAACATGTATTAAAAATGGAGTAATAGAATATGTCTAATCTATTACTTCATTTTTTTTGTTTTTATATGAGTATATTTATTTCAAATTTTTACATTTTTTTAGTTTTAAAATAAACTAACGAGCAAGAAAAACAGACTAAAGTTTCAAAAAAACAAAAGAAACAGACTCCATATTCCATTTTAGAACCAGAAATGAAATAGGGCTGGAAAAGATTTTCCTTTAAATTAAAATTTGGAGTGGAAATAGAATAAGATTAAAAATGGTCTTAAAACTGCAACAATATAAATGAAAGATAAATTTTGATGTTAAATCTAATAAGTAAGATGGGACCGTGGGAGAGAGACATATGATTAGGAATTTGATGTTAAATATAATAATAGGAAAGGTAGGAGAGAGACATGATTGGTTCAGACAATGGAAACGTGGTAAATAGTTTTGTGTATGGAAAATCAAATCAGGCCCATTTTGTTTTGCATCGTGATTTTGATGCGGTTGGCGGTAGGTTCATTTGAGGTATCCCAATTTATCAATATGTTAAAGATCTGACACAAGAGGACAAAAACTTAACCACAAACAAAAAAGTTATATGCAATATGGTTGGACATTCGGTTATGCGGTTCGGTTGTTCGGAAATTAGTTGTGGGTCAGTTTCCGTTCGGTTGACTCCGGTTTCGGTTCGATTTGATGTCACATTTTAGATATCTATAATATAACGAATTACTTAATGGTTCGGTCTCAGTTTTTAATTGAATAACCGAATTGAAATCTATACAAATCAAGTAAACAATTAAAAATAAAACACAAAAACATCATATTCAAAGAGTTTTGAGTCAAAAATCCATAATAAAACACAAAATGAAATTAAAAAATAGAACACAAAATGAAACACAAAGTCTATAAACATAAAATGAAACACAAAGTACTTGACTACTTGCCCACATCCATGAAACTCTTTTCAAAACTTCTTTCTCTCGCAATCCTTCAAGACCAGCTTTTGTCCCTCACAATCCTAACTCTACAAGTGAAACAAAAAGTAAAATAGAAAGGTGAAGTTCATATATATAACAGAA